GTACGGAAGTTTATAACTAATATAAAGCTCATATAGAGCTGACGTAAATGTTTAGTTTTGATTATGTCCACATTTTGGTTGTCTCCATTGGACCAAACCTGAGTGGTAAATTGTTTAAAACTCTTAACTTTTAAATTGTAGTGAACTCCAAATTTCACAATTCTTTTTAGCTAATTTCTTCCCTAACTATACTTATACATAACTGTTCTTTATACCACTGGCTCCGCCTCTACATTTCTCATGTTAAACAAAGTAACAGTACTAGTAGACAAAAGTAGCTATACAGGGTGTATAAAAAAAATTCGAATCGAAATTTAGCGTGTAATAATGCAAAATATGTTTGACAAATTTGGTTGATTTTTACGCTATTGTTAAGTACATTTATTTCTCTTTCAAATGACTCGTTGTACTTGTAATTAAGTTGAAAAATGAAGAAGTACTGGTTCGACAAAAAAAGTTCATAAAAATCACCATTTTCCGCCGATGGGATCTGGACGTTTGTTTTATTGAAAATTAGTCTCAAAGGGCTTTAAAATCTAATTATTACTGAAAACTAAACCGCAAATTCATCGCAAAAATTCTGCTTATTCAATGTTCAACGATAGAAGTTTGAATAACACAATGCCTCCATTAATTAAATTTGCATTTTCTTTTATCTGGAGGTCTCATTTCGAATTCCCATCAACGGAAAAATTTGATTTTGAGCAACAATTTTTAAAAGACGATAACTCGGCCAGTTTTGGTCGTGTCGATGTAAGAACGGTATAATCGTAAAGTAAATGAGCTAATCTTTGTTGCCATGTAAAAATTATATCGTTTACTTTAGTATTTTATACACAGCAGCTTGTCAAAGTTGGATTCAAATTTTTTTTATACACCCTGTAGTATTGTTACCATTGATTGAAAATCAAAGCAACACATGCTAAGCACTTTTGCAACATTTTATGAAATTAAAATAAGTTCCAATATAACCAAGGAGCAGCGTGGCAGCGTCTTCAAACAAATAGTGAAAAACATCTAATGTCTGCCCATAATTTTATTCCTCTGTCCTGATGTAGCTACAACTTAAACATTTTCATTACTGCTAGCAATTTTATTTTGTACAGGCTATATCACAATCATTGTACACAGAGAAAGATAATAGATTGACACCTGGGTCTACTACAATTAAGTCACTCTTTAGAACTGCTAATTACATTATTTTAGTCGCAGTAACCAGTAATTAAGACATTCAAACTTGTTGATCAATCTATACATTAGGGCCATTTGTACGAGCGAAAATAAATCGCGGCCTAAATAAACCGAGCCTTTAAAACCCACGCAGACAGCACGCGAATTGGCAACACGGTGCGAATTTTCAACACTTTTTATTTTTCAAAAGCAAATGAATTTTAATCTATCCTAATATTCTTGTATATTACATAACCATAATACATTTTGACTGCTCGGGCGTCCATATAGATTCTAAATTTTGCTTCCAGAATTTAATTTACATGAGAACTTATACCTAGAATTTATAAGCTTCTGAAAACTCAAAATTCGCGTCGCGTCGCCGCCTCGCGTCCGGTGTGTGTGCCTTTAGTAGAGCTCTTCCAAAAATAAGCCGCGGCTAATTTAAGTCACGGCTACCAAATCCTAAATTAAACATTGGTGTCAGCATCAGTTTACACTGCAAAAACTGTCTTGGCCGCCGGGACTTGCGACAGCGAATTTGAGTCGTTTATATAAGTGTTTGCATGCGACCAATTTGGAATAATTTTAAAAAAATATCCCATATAAACGCGCTGTTCGTGACTTATTTAAACCGCGGCCTAAATAAATAATAAATAATAAATAATAAAAAATAATAAATAATAAATAATAAATAATAAATAATAAATAATAAATAATAAATAATAAATAATAAATAATAAATAATAAATAATAAATAATAAATAATAAATAATAAATAATAAATAATAAATAATAAATAAAATAATAAATAATAAATAATAAATAATAAATAATAAATAATAAATAATAAAATAAATAAATAATAAATAATAAAATAATAATAAAATATAAATAATAAATAATAAATAATAAATAATAAATAATAAATAATAAATAATAAATAATAATAATAAATAATAAATAATAAATAATAAATAAAATAATAAATAATAAATAATAAATAATAAATAATAAATAATAAATAATAAATAATAAATAATAAATAATAAATAATAAATAAATCAGGGCCTAAATAAACCGAGCCTTTAGTAGAGCTCTTGCAAAATAAGGCTAATTTAAGTCGCGGCCACCAAATCCTAAATCAAACATTGGTGTGTTCATCAATTTACGCTGCAAAAACTGTCTTCGCCGCCCGGACTGCGACAGCGAATTTGACTCGTTTATACGAGTGGTTGCATGCAACCAATTTGGAATAATTTAAAAACAACATCCCATAATATACGCGCTGTTCGCGACTTATTTAAACCGCTGTTTGTTTTCGCTCGAAAAAACAGCCCAATTGCTTACCTGTATATTGAACACAAAAATGTTCATTACTTTCATGTAAGTCAGCCGTATGGAAAGGCCTATTTAAAAATTTTTCTTCCGATTTTTATCAGCATATGGGTGAAATATTAAAAATGCAGCGCTCCCCCTCATTCCGTAAACCCCCCCCGGAAATCTGTGATAGAAAGAAGGACAGACACAAAACGAGATTTCGACTATATATACGTCCAGGGAGCCGAAGTACGTCAAGAATAGTGCGCTGCCACGCTGGTGCACGGCAGCAATTATGCAAACAAACACAAGGTTGGTTGATTTGGTCTCATCTGTTATCTACCGTTTAATATCTATACATTGCTATTGAAATTGAGTAATAGTTAATTGAATAAAAGTAATAGTAAAGTTGGTTGGAAATGAAAAATTTTTGTATCCAAATTTGAATTGCAAATTTTCATATATTAATTATTGTTACTGCATGATATAAAAATATGCAAGAACAACTTCACTAAAACACAATATCTTAGCTTTATCTTTTTCATATTCCGTACATTGTATTTACAGCTACTTAATATAAAAGTATAAATCTATGTTAGCAACAATTTTGCTGCATTTAATACACACCTTTATTATATGGCACGCGGTCGTGACTAAAATGGCGTGCGCTGATTGGTTCTTTGCCGGTCTGGAATCCTCCAGTATTAGACCGTTGCCGTAGTAACGGTCCAACTCTCATATTTCTGAACAAAAACAAGCTTGCACTTTTATTTTTGACACGAAAAATATCGACGAAGAATGGACGAAGAAGAGCATTATTTGGTACATGTGAATAATTATTATATTTATTCATCTTTGATTTATGTTTATATTATTGTATCATTCTTATTTAACGAGCAAAAAAACAAAGTTTTGGAAGCCACTTTAATTCTTGCTTGGCGACTGGCTGGCGAAAGAGCCGGCAAGAATGCTGCAGCGCATTATAAATAAATAAACTAAATACTGTATGCCATATAATAAATCCCTTATTAACCGAAATGTTCGGTCCGTATTGGAAAATTATCAGACCTCGGTCTTTTATGTACGGACCTCGCTATTGCTCGGTCCGTACTGTCAAGACCTCGGTCTGATATTTTTCTAGTACGGACCTCAAATTCGGTTAATAAGTGGTATATAACTTATTTTCCAATACATAGTAATAGTTCAGAGTAGCAGCTTTTCATATATTGAATCATATTACATCTGAACAATGCACTACACTTGTTGACCCAAATATAACATAATTTTGCTTATAAGTATAATTGTATAGAAAATGAAAATATTTCAGTGTATTTTGTACCTAAATTAACTCAGATTGTAAATAAACGGTTGGCATTCTCACCCAAGGTTTTAATGACTGGAGGCTGATTAAAAACATACAATAATAATCTGTAAGTAACTAACAGTTGCAATCAATTAAAAGCTTCGCTCTTTGAAAACAGCTTTGTGTTGGGATAGAATTTTGGAATATATCCTAGTTCTCGTTTAGAAAAGTATTAGTATTAAATCCTGTGATCCAAAAAGTTTTCATTGCCAACGAAACATTTGCTTTTACATTAATAATTTATTCAAATAAAAATGTTTTAGATATTGTGCAGGGAAAACCTGTGGTTTTAATTATTTATTACATAATTATTGTTCTAGGCTCATATGATTCAATATGAAAAGCTTTTACTATGAACTATGACTATAATATGGTTCACAGTTCACACTAGTCACTGACCACAAGCCTCTTGAGGTAATCTACGGAAACAGAGACGCAAAAGCATCTGCCCGTGTTGAGGGCTGGGCTCTGAGACTTCAATCTTATTTTGAGTTATTTATAAACCAGAACGATCGAACCCTGCTGACTATCTCTCTAGGCACCCAGTGGAAACATGTTCAAGCTTCAAACAGCAACGTATATAATAGAAGAGTACGTGAACTTTATCGCACTCAACAGCATTCCGAAGACCATCACGATTCAGGAATTTATAAAAGGGAAGGATGAAGACCAAGTGTTGAAAGGTGTTCGAGAAGCAATCAAACTACTAATGTACGATTGAATCGTTCCACCATTCCATCCGATTCGGGGTGGTATGCAGTTGTTCTTGTTTTATGTATACCTAAACTTTGACACATTTCTTTAATAAGTTCTGATTCACAGTTTCCTTGATTTGAATGCAGTTCTAGAGGTATACCGAATCTACAAAAGTACTTTCGAACCAATACATTTGCCACTGTTTTTGCTTCTTAATTTGGTGCATAAACATAGGGCCATTTTGAAAAATAATCCATAGTTACTATAACAGATACTTATTACCACGCTTAACAATATAGGTAGCAGTCCCATGATATCGATGGCGATTCTTTTCCTCGTAATCGGGCTTTCTGCTTCTTTTGAGGTATTTTTCTCGAACAACAAGTATCACATTGTTCAATCCATTTCTTTACATCATCTTAACACTTAAAGGCCAATAAAATTTCTGTTTAAGTCGTAGCAGAGTCTTGTTTATACCGAAATGTCCAACAGTTTGACTACCATGCAGCTCTTGTAAAGGCTTCTCTTCCTGGCTCTTTGGTACAATAAGTTGACAACGAGAATCCGAGGGTTGATGATCCCACAATCAGTAGTGACTACCATTGTGAACACATAAAATGTCCCATTGCGGTGCCCACAGAATTTTCGTCACTTGACTGTAAGGTGCTACGACTGACCAACTAGGACAATTGGGGCTCTTAACCAACTCAGCAACGTTCCAATGTCAACATCATTCTCTTGAAATTCCTGGACATTTACCGTGTCTGTCATCTTTAATTTGTTTGTGCTCAAAACGTCTGTGTCCTGATCATGATCTCTTTCACATTCACGGTGATCTAAATCCCTCTTCCTCGGTCTCGTTCAGGCTCGTAGTCATCGTTTTCTTTCTCACGGCTATCATATTGTTTACTACGTAGGTCACGTTCTTGGTCATGTCTTCCACGTTCTCAATCTTTACCGCGGAGTTTTTTTCGTAGCAAGTTACAGTTTAGTGTTATCCGATTACTTGGCAGTTCCTTCTAATATGACCCAGAGCACTACACTCCTAACAACTTACTTTTGACGGATCAAACGCATCTCTTTGTCCGGCAAGGCATCGATAAATTGGTCTCTACTTAGCACATTCTGTACGTCAGCATCTCGCCGATCAGATGGTAGATTGCTGAGAACATTCAAAGCTGATCCTTTTAAACTTGTTGCGAGGAACAATGTTTTTTGAGGCAAATATGACTCTCATAAAAGAATCTCCACTGTAGGGAATTGGTCGCTGAACAGGTCTCGAATTCTCCGCTATCTGATAACCACTGCCCCGGTTAAATTCCATGGTAGATTTTTTCTTGCCACAGGCTACCGGCGTTGGTTCAAATGTCGTCGCTTAACACCGTGGTGCTGACTGTGCGTTCATTATTTTTACTCCATCTTTTAACGAACGTTTCAATTTATGCAACTCATTTCCCAGCTCCGTGCGTTCACACTCGGTTGCGTCAAACTTATTTCGATATTTTTTTGTAGTTCCATGTACATTTCGCTAACCATGCAGCTCATCTTGGACTGATTCGATAACCGGTCTTGACTTGAATCCCACAGAACCGCCCGTTCTTCAATAATTTTCATTCGTTTAGAAAAATTTTCTGTTTCCTTCTGTAGTACATTACAACATTTTTCTGCCTTGCTCATTCTTTTGGAAAATGCTTTCGGAAGTTTTATGCTTGTTTTCGGCTTCATTTCGCTGGGCAATCTTTTGCTTGCGTAATAACTTTAACTGAACCGCTGATAAACTGGTTCCAGTATTGACTGATTTGTCACTTCGTACAAAGCAAATGGATCGTCTAAATGCGAGAATGATACATGATATATGATACATAGTAATACACACCAAAAAATTGTAATATAAGTTTTAAAAAACATTAAAACAACTTGTAACTCTCCGAAATAATATTATAAAAGCAATTTGATACTTAAAAAAATATTGAAAATAGCACAAGGTATAGAGGGGCAATTTTTCTCAAAAGTATTGACACCATTTTCGCGACCGAAAATGCCTGGGGATCACCGGAATCATTACAGCAGATTTCAAGCTTACATGATTGTCATTCGAATTACCAAGAATGAAGAAAATCGAGTCATGGGAATTCTAGGTATTTGATTTTAAACATTGTAAACAGATTTACTCCTAAGTCGGCCATTCGCGGGGAGTCGTCCAAGTTCAAGCCTCAATATAAGATAGAATATAACATTTACCTCTAGAAACCACTAGATCTTTACTTCTTCTGTAAGAACACTACTCGAAAATTCAAATATTTATATATTTCTCTCTATTTGTTTCGCGACGAATGCAAAAATTTTAGCCAAAATTTTTCTGAGACGCGATGAGAAAATAGAGCGATGTCATTGGTCGAGAGCTCACGTGACAACTTGCCAATTGCTTGTCCAACCTCCTCTGATTCTTCCATGTGCGTAAACTAAATAATCTTATATGCATATAGCAAATTAAAAATATCTTACACGAAGAAGTCCATAATCTCTATCATCACCAACTTTCCATGTACATTGTTTCCAGTTTGGAGTAAACATCTATGAAAGCAATAAAGTGGGCAGGTATAAGAACATTGAGCTATCTTATTATTTGTGAATTAGAGTCGGAATCAAACAACTCCGAGTACAAGTAAACAGCTTACATTTTTAGGTCTCAATAGCCGTCGATTATTTAATGACTATCGAAAGTATCAAAACCCAAAGAAATAAAAGCGACGCATCTTAAATTGTTTATTTTTAAATTTTCGCAATCAATTATAATTGTTTTTATAATTGATTCGACGACAGCGACAAAGTTGAAAATTCGGCTGGGTTTTGTTTTGTTTTTGTTTTTTTAATATTTTTCGTCGTCGCAATTGTGTTTTGGCGCGAAATAATCCAGCATTTGAAACTTAAATGCTCATTTGCACCCAGGACTTAACTGGATGCGACGCTCGTTGCAGAGCGCATGTGACCGTATTTATTTACATGAAAGTTCCGTCTCGCAAGAGTCGTGGTGCACTAGTGGAAATCTCTGGCGAAATTTCAAATGCGCGATTTGATTTCGGTCGCATGATACGGAAATTCTTCGAATAAACCGTTCTTTTGATGCTGGTCGAGTAAAATTAGGTTTAATTGGGGTAAGAATATATTTAATACATGTAGATTCTGGTTCTATTTTAATAATAGCGCTGAACTTCTATATTTTTCAAAGTACGTCGTGTTTCTGAATGTCGAACAACATTTAGCGGGTTCACAACTGTGACACTTCTTTATATATATATATATATATATATATATATATATATATATATATGGCTCAATTAAGAGCAAAAAAAAAAAAAAAAAAAAAAAAGCACAAATATATATATATATATATACACCCATTTGCAAAAACGTTGGCCGCAGATAGATAGATAGATAGATACTCAAAGTCTGATTAGAAATGCATATAATCACATTTGCATGGGATTTCAATCATATTACAAATCATATGCAATTCTAATTAGATTTCGGGTATCTATCTATCTATCTATCTGCGGCCAACGTTTTTGCAAATGGGTGTATATATATATATACAGTAGGAGGCAAAAGTTTGAGTCCAGTGACTGTATTTCATTGTTTTAGCAGCATATATTAATATTCTACAGAAAACCTTACCGATAAGTGAACTAGAAAAAAGTAAATAAGTACACAGAAAAATACATGCTGCACAACAATTATGAGATGTTATGATATCCATTTTACGTATGTTAATGTGCAAACATGCATTACATGTCCATGCTTAGTATCCCTCTTTTTTGCTTTTGAAATGACCTTTATCTTGCTCGCATAGATTCCATAGGCTTTTAAAGTCGCACGTTCAATACCTTTCCAGCATTCGTTGACCACTTGCCTCAAGTCATCCTGGCTGGCGGGTCTGTGGCTCGCCCTTTTCCGGTTAAAATTGTTCCACATGTGCACCATAGGATTTAGATCTGATTTTGAGGTGGAAAGCCATGAGAAAGAGATCAACAAAATGAGTTTCTTTTTAAAAGATTTCTGGCACATAGAAGATGTACATGTGATTAGGGTGATTGTTATGTAGTTAGACGCGCGATCCTCTTTGTATACCAGATGAAATTCCATGTACTTGAAGAATTGGATGATACTTTTCTTTAATTATGATCCTATCATATCATTTATTTCTCTCAATATTGCCAAACCGAACATGACCGAAGCAGCTAAAAGTTTGCTTGAGTAGGATTCAGTTTCTTCGAACCTCTCCAAGATTAGTTGCATGCCACCTTTTTAAATTCTCAATTTTTCTGCGATCTTACGAGGAAAGAATCCTTCAATACTTAATGCAACTATTTGTCCTTGTGCACCATCACTTTGCCCTTTTCCCCACCCATCTTGGGCAGTGTAAAGGAACGAGAACTTTATTTGGTTATTATTTAGATCATTAGGACCAAAACCGGTTGAGATTAATATAGTTTACAGTACCGAAACACTAGCACGCATGCCTTAACTCGAATACGCTGCCAGGATTTAATACTGGAATTCTACAACGACTGGACTCAAACTTTTGCCTTCTACTGTATATATATATATATATATATATATATATATATATATATATATAATTATATAATATATATAATATATATATATATATATATATATATATATATATATACGGAACGTCGGAACGTGCATGTCATAAACTATTGCCTAACAGTTGGGTAATTGTCATAAAAATGATCTGGATAGTACAAAAATTCGATCAGAACTGTTTAAATCATACATCACCCATAAGCCGGAATAGCATCTAGTGTCGTTCTTTGCCACGATTTATGGTTTAAACGCCAAACATCGTAACAATAATTATCACGCTATTTAGCTACCTGCTATTAGTAAAGTTTTTGAAAAATTAGAGTACTTTTTTGTCAGTTGGGTTTTTGAACGTTTTATTTAATAGTATCTGATCATTACCATGCACAGCACAAATGAGTTGGACGAAAGCGTTGTTTGGAATTCTAGAATCTTAATGCAAGTCCTTTTACGGCCAGATCTTGCACTTTTATCAGTATGGATTCGGTCGGATGCACAAAAACAGCCCTACATGATCTTAATTATTACCAAGTCTATACCAGGAGGGACAGTCTAAATGGACTTTAAGCAGCTTCGGTTATAAAATATTCATATGTAGTAACACTGCCAAATGCCCTAAATAGGGATGACGCAGAAAATAATTACCTCTTTTTTGAAGAAGCCATCATGTTGAGAGTATATAAGGTCAAACTTTTAAACCAGGTCACCTCTGGTGAAGACGCTAGACCGGAGTGTCAAAACGTTTGGTCGTGATGTAATATTTGGCTGATTATTTTTTTATTACCCTAATCATTTAAGAGCAGCGATAATAAAATGAAATTTCCTACTTTTTCCATATTGGTATGGGGCCAGGCCCGGAGCTACGGGGGGGTGTAGGGGGGGGTCACACCCCCCCAGAAAGTTTATTCTTAGGTTTAGTCGGTAAAATTGCTATTTTAGTCGGCAGACAAACATACTGTTGACACTATGGACCGATCCAATATAAACTTGACAAAGTTTCATCCAGAGTGTAATCGGTACAAGTCCGTGGATCAGTCGGTTTAGATTACCTTACACCCCCCCTGTAAAATATCCTGAGGACGGCCCTGTATGGGGCTACCTACATTCTTTTGCAAGTTTTAATAGCGATATAATATGGGGCTACTCACATTCTTTTGCAAGTTTTAATACAATAGCGATATATAAAATGGGGCTACTCACATTCTTTTTCAAGTTTTAATACAATATAGCGATATAATATGGGGCTACCCACATTCTTTTGCAAGTTTTAATACAATAGCGATATAATATGGGGCTACTCACATTCTTTTGCAAGTTTTAATACAATAGCGATATAATATGGGGCTACTCACATTCTTTTGCAAGTTTTAATACAATAGCGATATAATATGGGGCTACTCATATTCTTTTGCAAGTTTTAATACAATAGCGATATAATATGGAGCTACTCTCATTCTTTTGCAAATTTTAATACAATAGGGATATAATCAATTTTCAATATTTGGATAAAAGGCTAACTCGTAGAAGGTTGGTTAAAGTTAGTCTTTGTTTTGGTAGTCTGAGCATCAATAATAGCGCGGCCGTGCCAATAAATTTACTGTGGTGTAAATGGGGGGCTTATATTTATGGGCAGAAGCATCCTCGCCCCGAGGACCTATAGCTATTTGGATAACAGGCTAACACGTAGGAGGTTGGTTAAAGTCAGTGTCTGTTTTGGTAGCCTGGGGCGGTTGTTGAAAGCTGTGTTAGCGCTAACGTTGCATGCATGGGTTAAATTTTAATCCAATGTCTTGGTTTAAGTGCTTCTGAACCACTGTTCGTTTTCAAACCTTTACAAAATATGGCTTTGTCGACGGTCCAGAAAATATTTATAGAAAAAGATATTCAACTTTGTCAACAAGCGATTAAAAAAAGTAATGTAGAGATTCGCATGCTTGAACCCAGGGTCAAGCTAACCGGCTTTTGAACAAGCAATTAAAAAAATATTGTAGAGATTTGCTTTAACCCAGGGTTAACCGGCTTTTGAACAACCGGTCCCTGCGGAGCACAAATAATGCCTGGCCGTGCCAATAAATTAACTTTGGTGTAAATGGGGGCTTATATTTATTTCTTGCATGCATGTTGGAAGGAGGTGTTTTGTACCTTTGAACATAACTCGTAAGAGTAAATTTGCACGGAAAGTGTTAACAGAATGAATATTAACGGAAGTATTTCGCCAGCGCTCAGTAAGTTTCTTTTGTGTGCGTTATGCTCAATGATTTATACTTCATAATTTTTTAACGCAATATTATTTCAACTGCTTTTATAGTCACCTCCAAATCTCTGGAATTCTTCACCGTCTCTATACATATATATTTGAAAAAAGAAGGAATAAATGTTAATCGCATGTTGGAAAAGCAGTAACTGAGTGATTCATAAATCTTTATTGACTTACGATCTTTCACAATTGCCAATTGCCCATTAAGTTGCGACACACCTTCTGTGATCTGTAAATTATTTTCATACATATAGCTAGATATAATTATTGTATGAAGAATTTGCAGCGCGGATAAACTTAAATTTTCGGGTTAAATCTTTTCTTAATTCACAACCCTAAAAGGTAAAAATGCAGGGAGAATAACGGGCAAAAGTTGAAATTTTTAACGACTATCCAAATTTTAGTCGGTGCTCTAGTGAGCGTCAGTACCGTCATTGCTTTCAGGCAAAGGCTTTATTCTTTTTATGCTTAGAGATGCAAACGCTATATGATTTTAGTTTCAAGCCTTCACACCTTCAAAGTTTCCGTCTTCTTTGCCGTCGCTAGAAACAAAAGGGAAATACTAAATTCTATTTGCCTTTTGGTAAACAGAAACTTTGTCATTTATTAAAATTTAGGACTTACTACTCTCTAGTTTGTCTACCCGTTCTTTCACTGTTGTTTGGAAATCTCGTAATTGCTCCGACACAGTGTGCATCATCTATATAAGTTAGGAACATAATGACTCAGTTATGATAGCGTGCCAGTATTAAGGTTTACTGTATTATAAATTGTGCATGATGTTCCTATTAATTTTTAGCAAAAACAAAACGCCGTTCTGGCGTTAACTCCGGCGCACGTGACAGTCTTCAATATAGAGCTTCTGAACATAAACAATACAGTTCGCGTATTGTTTCGCATACATATTCGCATTTAGATGCCTTGCGAACCTTAATGTTCGATCGCGAAATTCAGAAGCACATCGCAGTATAGATGTTCAATTGTTCAAAAATGTAAATAAACCGCATGATACATTCGCTTCGTCTTACACTTTGCCTTTAGAATTCGTGCTTATATAGTTATATTAAATCTTCGATCCTGTGCAACTACGCGACGTGTCAACGCGCCCATACACGGCCACATCATCTTTATTTATTATTACTAGAAGTTACTATCGCAAGGGGAGTGCTGCCATGCGCAAAAAGAATTTTGTACAAACAAGGATCGATGATTAACAAAGACACTGTTACTGAACATGCTGAATTTCATCCTGTTATTTGCCTTTTGGTTGCTTTTACACGACAAAATTCCCTTTGACAATTTTTTTCTGCTGTTGTATGTTAAGGTGGCTCGATACAGTTTCTCGAATTTTTTTTGGGCTCATTTTAAACAGAGATATAAAGCACCTAAATATTTCACTATAAGGCTGAAAGTTAACATACTTTGCAGGAAACATATATAGAGCGGAAAAATTCTCAGAACCTTTGCCGGGCACCCGTTACCATGGAAACAGAGACGTTTCAAAATGGCCGCCAAACAAGGTTTTATCGTGGTTATATCACAAACGAGTTCGGTGACCCCCAATTTTTTTTTCATTAAACGTTTATGCTATAGATTATTTATCTATGAAAAAGTTTTAAAAAAATTTTAACATGGGGGAATATTTTAATAAACAAAAATAACGTTTTTGTAAATAGAAAAAATTCCCCATGTTAGAATTTTTTAAAAACTTTTTTATAGATAAAGCATTTATGGCGTAAACGTTTAATGAAAAAAAAATTGGGGGTCACCGAACTCGTTTGTGATATAAACACGATTAAACTCTGTTTGGCGGCCATTTTGAAACGTCTCTGTTGCCATGGTAACGAGTGCCAGGCAAAAGTTCTGAGAATATTTTCGCTCTAGATATGTCTCCTGCAATGTGTATTAACTTTTAGCCTTATAGTGAAATATTTAGGTGCTTAATATCCCTGTTTAAAAAGTCCATCTAAAAATTTCGAAAAATTGTATCGAGCCACCTTAAGTAGATTAGTTATGAATGTATTTTATAATTCGCTTTACTGAGCAACCATATTGTTTTGAACTTGAATACGCTCAATCACATGCATCAAGATGAGAAATTTGTCAAAGACAAAGAGTATTTGACCGTGCAAAAGCAGCCTTAATCAAGTCAACTAGACCAGCAAGCGTTATAAAAACAATTCAACATGAATCATGTTGAATTGTTTTTATTTACATGATTGCTCTGATGAAGGCTTGCAGTTTACAGCCGAAATTTAAGTTGTATTTAAAGAATTTTACCGCTTTAAACTTGGAATATTTTTAACTAGATCAGTTTCAAAACTTAAATATTTTATCATGTACTCTACTGATTGCCAGAATAACATAATAGCAGCATATACATATATATTCAATTTAGTTTCAAGTGGGATTTGTTTAGAGGTTGCTTCAACAACAATTTAACCTTTGGCAGATAACGGTTTGTCATCAGGCTTCAAGTTGTATCCTGCTTAAAATTAAATTGGATTATATATAGAATTCAGATTTTGTTCTTGTTGTTTTAGCTGGGGTAGAAAATAATTTGTACTATAGAAAAAAATAGTTTCTAGCTAGAGGGATTTGTTAAGAGGTTTTTTACTTTTTTTTTAACAACAATCATTAGCATATAACTGTTTGTCATCAGGCTTCAAGCATTATTCAATTACATAGAATTTAGATTTTCTTCTTTTAGTTCAGGTTGTTTTACTTCGGGTGAAAATAATTTGTGCTGTTGGAATATAGCTGTTCTGTTTTCAATACGAAAACTGAAATACATGTTTATTTTTTATTATGTCCACACTTTGGTTGTCTCCATTGGACCAATCCTGTGGTCATTTGTGTAAAACTCTTAACTTCTAAATTGTAGTAACTCCAAAATTCACAATTCTTTTTAGCTAATTTCTTTCATAACTATACTTATACATAACTGTTCTTTATACCACTGGCTCCGACTCTACCTTTCTGATGTTAAACAAAGTAACAAAGTTGACAAAAGTAGCTATAGTATTGTTACCATTATTGAAAATCAAAACAACACATGCTAAGCACTTTTGCAACATGTTATTAAATTAAAATAAAATTATATTTGGTACTATATGCATATACAAAAGGATTATTACATGCAATGTAATAATCATGCAAAATTATTACATGCAATGGATTCCAAATGTGGTATGCCTCAAACTAATAGTGAAAAACATGTAATGTCTCGATCAGCATAATTTTATACCTCGAGATCTGCCCTGATGTACAACTGAAACATTTTCATTATTGTTAATAATTTTATTTTGTACAGGCTATATCACAATCATTGTCCACAGCTAGAAAAAGATAATAGATCAACACCTGGGTCTAGAACAATTAAGCCACTATTTAGAGCTGTTAATTACATTATTTTAGTTGCAGTAAGACATTCAAAGTTGTTTTTGATCAATCTATACATTTCGTTTTAGCTAATTTCTTTCCTAACTATACTTATAACTGTTCTTTATACCACTGGCTCCAGCTCTACCTTTCTGATGTTAAACAAAGTAACAGAGTAGACAAAAGTAGCTATAGTATATTTAATTGTTACCATTGATTGAAAATCAAAACAACACATGCTAAGCACTTTTGCAACATTCTATCAAATTTAAGTAAAATTACATTTGGTGCTATATGCACATACAAAAGGATGAAACCATATAGTAATTATTACAAGCACATTCCAAATGTGGTATGCCTCAAACAAATAGTGAAAAACATGTAATGTCTCCGCATAATTTTATTCCTCTGTCCTGATGTACAACTGAAACATTTTGTATAGGCTATATCACAATCATTGTCGACAGAGAAAGAGAAAATAAATCGCAGCCTAAATAAACCCAACCTTTTATAGTATAGAGCTCGTCTAAAATAAGCCGCGGCAAACATTGGTGTTCAGCATCAGTTTACACTGCAAAAACTGTCTTGGCCGCCGGGACTTGCGATCGCGAATTTGAGTCGTTTATACGAATGTTTGCATGCGACCAATTTGAAATAATACAAACAATATCCCAAACAAACGCGCTGTTCGCGATTTAAATAAGCCGCGGCTTATTTTCGCTCGAAATAAACGGCTTATTTTCGCTCGAATAAACAGCTTTGTTGCTTACCTTCATATTGAACACAAAAATGTTCAGTACTTTGGTGTAAATCAGCCGTATCGAAAAGCCTATTTAAAAAATCCTCTTCCGATTCCTCATACGGGTGAAAGCATACGGGTGAAATATTAAAAATGCACGCTCCTCCTCATTCCGTAAAAAAACCCCCCGGAAATCTGTGACAGACAGAAGGACAGACAAAAAATCGAGATTTCGACTATATATACGTCCGATGTCAAGAATAGTGTGCTGCCGTGCTGGTGCACGGCAGCAATTATTTAACCTTATTTACAAAACGGTAACCCTTCAGTACTAAAAACTGATTTTCAAGAGGCCGTTCACACGCTAGTAAAAATCAATCTATACATTATTTACAAAAATTAACACACACAATTATATAAATTTATGAAAGTATAAGGAATAAAAGAATATTTTTAAATTGACCAATTGTTAGCTCTTGTTGTTTTGCAGTGGTTGCCTAGAGCCTATTAACATGTATTCCGTTTTTTCAGTATTGAGATGAGAGTTAATTTTTTTGCTAACAATGAATGATGGACCTTTTCTAAATCAGCATTTAGTCTATTTTGAATATCACCTATAGTTTCACCACCAGTTGTTAGATTCGTATCATCAGCAAATGAATTAATATCGGAAAAGGATAAACAGTTTGGAAGGTCGTTAACATATATAAGAAACAATAAAGGTCCTAAGTTAGACCCTTGGGGTATTTCACAATGAGTAACAGCCTGAGAGGACACTGTTTGACCTACTTTGCACATCTGGGTTCGATTTGAAAGATAAGATCGAAACCACTCATACGTCGTCCCTGTGCAACCGTAGAGAGCTAACTTTTTTAATAAGATAACATGATCTACGCAATCAAATGCTTTTTTGATATCTAAAAATATTACTCCATTTAAATAACCTCGGTCCATATTTATTAACCACCTATTGGTTGCGTCAAGCATTGCAGTTTCCGTGAAAAATTTTTTTCTGAATCCAGATTGCTGGGGAACAAGTATTCCATTGCTTTCTAAATACTCATATAATTGGTTTGATATCAGCTTCTCAAAAATTTTAGCTACAGTTGAAAGAACTGACATAGGTCTATAATTACTGCATTCTACTTTACTACCACTTTTATGTATAGGCGATATTATTGTTGTTTTTAAATCATGTGGAAATATACCAGTGTTAATTGATTGGTTGCAAATTTTGGTTAATGTTGGTGTGACTATTTCGGCAGCATCAAGCAAAACTTTTTGTGATATTCTGTCATGCCCACACGCCTTGGACAGCTTAAATGTAGACAGTAGTTTAAATATATCTGCTTCCGAAACATTTTGTAGATGGAAATTTGAGTTATGTGGAATAACATAGGACTCAGGTGTAACAGTAGTTTCGGGTAAATCATTAGCTAGATTTGACCCGATTGTACTAAAAAATGTATTAAGAGTGTTTGAGATCTCATTAGAATCTTCAGTAAAATTTTCTTCTGATATTTTAAGCTTGGTAATCTTAGTTGTTTTAGATTTTTTATTTGTTAGCCTGTTTATCGTAT